TATTTTTTATTTTTATTTTTTATTTTTTTGTAAAAATATCCCAATATTTTCAAGATTCTTAAACTTTTTTTGTCAGCTGAAACCCAACGAGGGACAATATTTACTTTAAGTTGATATTTTGATAATTTAACAACACATTTTAACATTTAGCATCAATTTAAATGATGAATTATTTGAAACTGGAGAATTGTGAACATGCCAAAGTGTTGCTGAATTATTAAAATAACAAAAATTATACTAATAAATAATATAAATAAAATGATCACATTAAATGTTTTATTTATAGTTTTAAAATATATTTTTTTGTTTTTATTTTTAGGTCTTATTGCTGTTTTTAATAATACTAATATTATTTATTTATTTACATTTATTTTCTTTTAGATTTACTTGTCCTATCACGAGTTTGTGGACCTCCAAACATCACTAAAGCATTATAACAGCAGCTCATGCGACTTCTGAAGGCATTTGATGGTTTGTGTGAGGAACAGACATGAAAATGTTTCTCATACGCAGGACTTCAGAAAACTAATATAGCGCACAAGTCACATGAACTGCTGTTATGCTGCCTTCATGCTCTTTATTTAGTCATTTTGGGAGCTTTTACAGAGGAGATACTGCTAAACATCTTTGGTGTTTAACATAAAAAAATAAAGCTTTAAATGATGACAGAATTAGTCATTTTGGGCAATTTATCACGAACCATTTGTCACTGTTTAAGTGAACATTCATGGAAATGTTCGGGTTATATTTCACCAAATCCAAATGGAAGCAAGTAAACAAACAAACAAACAAATAAAAATTAATTTAAAACATCAAGAATTATATTATAGAAAATACTGTTTATTTTCAGGACATTTAAGTGGTATATATATATATATACAAAATTATACTATTGTAGTTATTGTATTTTATATTAGAATTTAATGATGTTTTTTATAGTATAGATTCAGTGTAGAGTTTCTTTTGGTGTAGATTCTTTTTTTTTTTACGATACATGGGGCAAGTTGTAAATAAAATCTGCCATTAAACAATCTATTATAGGCTTTTCAACTAAATTTTACACACACACACACACACACATACACATATATATATATTTTTTATTTTTATTTTTTATTTTTTTGTAAAAATATCCCAATATTTTCAAGATTCTTAAACTTTTTTTGTCAGCTGAAACCCAACGAGGGACAATATTTACTTTAAGTTGATATTTTGATAATTTAACAACACATTTTAACATTTAGCATCAATTTAAATGATGAATTATTTGAAACTGGAGAATTGTGAACATGCCAAAGTGTTGCTGAATTATTAAAATATTTAATACAACTAAATATTAATTGTATAATATTAACTTAATATTAACCTACAGAAATACCTTGGGGGTTCTTCAAACATATTCGTAATATTTAACAACAATTTAAATAATTATGTAAATTATTATTTACATTATTTAAATTTTACATTTTTATGATTGAATTAATTATTAACTTATTCATTATCTCACAAACCTGCAGTTCCACTTTATAGGAACAGAATATTACAATCTAATCTGATTCCAGGCAATGTAAAAGACATCAGTATCGGGGAGTAACATGCCAAAAATCATTTTCAAATAAATTTCAAATTTTTACGTAAACATGAGATCTGAGATAAATTTCAGTCCGGTTTTAGGGCAGGTCATAGTACAGAGTCTGCACTCTTGAGAGTTGTTAATGATCTTAATTTTATCAGAGATGCAGGTAATGCTGCAGCTCTGATTTTATTACACTTGAGTGCGGCCTTTGATACAATAGACCTAGTGATTCTTATCGATCTGTTATCTCATTTGGTTGGAATACGTGGGATGGTTTTAACGTGGTTTAAGTCTTATCTTACTGATAGAGCTGAAGTATGGTAACTGTTTCAACAACTGTGCCTGTCACTTGTGGGGTTCCTCAGGGTTCTGTTATTGGCCCCATCTTATTTTCTTCGTATATGTTGCCTCTGGGTTCGATTTTTAAAAAAATATGGCATGTCTTACCATTTGTATGCCGATGATACACAGATTTATCTCCCTTTGAAATCAGTAGAGCATTGCCGTTCTAATTTACTTTTGGCATGTCTGGAGGAGGTTAAGAGCTGGATGTCTCATAATTTGGTTCAGTTAAACCAAAGTAAAACTGAGATTATGCTTTTTGGCCCTGCCAGAGGATGCTTAGATATTGCCACATATTTAGGCACATGGTCAGACTATTGCCATGACCAAGTAAAAAATCTAGGTGTTGTGTTTGATCCAGAGCTGAAATTTGAAAAGCAGATTAATTACGTGGCTAAGAGTTGCATTTTGCAGATTAGGTCTATTGCTCGATTAAAGCCTATACTGTCGACAAATGATTTAGAGAAGGTTATTAATGCCTTCGTTCTGTCTCGCCTTGACTATTGCAATGTTTTGTATGTGGGGTCCTGTCAGACCACTATATCACGTTTGGAATTAGTGCAGAATGCGGTGGCTCGGCTGCTGGTGGGTGCTAAGAAAAGTCATCATATATCTTCTATTTTGGCTTCTTTTAAGTGGCTACCAGGATAAAATATAAAATTCTGCTATATGTTTTTAAAGCAGTGCATGGAATGGCTCCTGCTGATGTGTCAGAGCTGATTGCTCTTCACAAAGCACCTTGGTTTTTAAGATCAAGTAATAAGTCATAACTTGTTTAAAGTTAGTGAACTTAGGGAGATCACTTCATTAAATGTTTTTAAAGCGTGTGTTAAAGTTACTTTCTTTATTTAGCCTTTGAGAGGTTGGGCTAGTATTCCATGTATTACTAGGTTGTGTGTTGTTTTTATGCTGCTTGTACAGCACTTGCAGGTGCAGTTGTAAAGTGCTCTATGAATGAAGTTAATGAATGAATGTATGAATAAAACTAGCTACTACATACTAACCCTAAACCCTTGAACTAAATCTTTTTTGCATTTATTGCACAATAAAACACACACACACACACAGAGTCCCCAGCAGAGGGCAGAGTTTAGGCCGGTTCACAGGGTGTTCGGGCCCCGCGGTCCCCTGATATATATGTATATATATATATATTACATAATAATATAAATTTAAATATTCTACTTTTATTTTTTAAAAATACTTTCATTTTTATTTTATTTTCTATATATTTTTAGTCTTATTGTTATTTTAAATAATACCAATATTATTTATTTATTTTATTTACTTACTTTTATATGCTTCTTTCTTTCTTTATTTACATTCTATTAACCTTTTTTTCTTTTTTTATTGGTTTATATTTATTTACATACTTTTTTATTTATGTAAAAGTATATTTACTTTTTATAAGCTTTTATTTATTTTATTTACTTACTTTTATATGCTTCTTTCTTTCTTTATTTACATTCTATTTCTTTCCTTTATCTAACCTTTTTTTCTTTTTTTCATTGGTTTATATTTATTTACATACTTTTTTATTTATGTAAAAGTATATTTACTTTTTATAAGCTTTTTTATTTAGTTAACATTTATTTATATATTTACTATTTATTAATACAAAAATAATACAAATAAAAATGGTTTAACTGTTTTTTTTTTATGAATCTCATCAAAAACTACACTTTGAATAAGTGTTTATATTTGGCATCCCATAATTCCGTGTTTCCCATCCACCCTTCTATCATAACTAATAATTAAATAATAAAAACGTCAAATTTAAATAAATAATTTAAAAAGAAAAAGTCAAAATAAAACACTTAAAATCCAGAATACTGTACTGGTTTCTGTGAGGGGTTTGATGTGGTTTTTCTCACCTCAGGAGCCAGATACTCTGGAGTCCCACAGAAGGTCTTCATCGTGGCTCCGTCTGTGATTCCCTCCTTACACAAGCCAAAGTCAGTGATCTTTATGTGACCGTCTTTATCCAGCATCAGGTTTTCCAGCTGAGAGAGAAAACGATAGAAAAGAGACAGAAAACATTCAACCTGTGATCATCTAATAAGGGTTTTTCACAACAGTGACTGTCACCTTTCATCATATTTCCTCCAAATACATCTCAAAAAAACACTGAACCAAACCAACAGCTCCAGCAACATAAAAGTAAATAAAATCAATCAATAAAAAAGGTAAGGTAAATTAGAAAATTAAAAATAGAAATATATAAATAAAAGTTAATTAATTAATTAATTAAAAAGCTCTAATAAATAAAATGTAAATATATATAAATAAAAAAGTAAAAAAAAAATAAAGTCAATAATACATTAATAAATAAATAAAATAAAAAGTAAATATATAAAAAAGTAACTTAATGCAAAAGCTAATAAAAAAGTATCTAAATAACATAAAATAAGCAAACAAAAAAGTAAATAAAACAAATAAATAAAAATAATTTAAAAATAATTACATTAAAAAGCAATTGAAAAATAAATAAATAACAAAAGTAAATAAATAAAAAGTAAATAAAAATAAATTAATTTAAAAAGTAAATAAATGAACAGTGATTAAATAAATAAATAAATTAATTAATTAGAAATGTACACTTTGTGGCATATATATCCAAACTCATGTTTGCTTGTTTGTTTTGTTTTTTGTAATATTTACTTAAAGGGGTCATAGCCCTTTAAACAATCCGTTGCACTAAATTACTCTAAATCCAGTTCTTGTCAGTGATTTTCTGGCCTGGCTTCTGTTGTGTTTGTGATATGAAAATGTATAAAATTAAAAAAATTTAACTCAATTCAACACAATAACCCAGCTGAATTGTATCTCCAAATGAACCTGATTTCAAATGGAAATAAGACGGCATCAGTGAGTGTGTGTGTGTGTGTGTGTGTGTGTG